TCGCTAAATATATCGATAAGATAAAAACAAGTAGCAAAGCAAAAAAAAGATAGTTAGGGTTGGTTATATGATATAAAGAAGAAAAGAAAAAAAAGAAGGCCTTGCCTAGGATCGTAACAGTGATTACGATAGTTGCTAACGAGTGCGATGAAACCAAATGACCTTGTGAATTTTTTTAACGTAAATTGTTGAAAATTCAAAAATCGAGCAGGATAATAGACTTGGTTGAATTATACATGATTTGATAGTACGCGCGACACTGATTAAAGATGCAATAGTTTAAAGTCATTATTTAATCATATAACAAGATTGTGGAATCTATAATTAGATTGGCTGGTGTCAAAAAATAAAAGAGCAGATTTCGATCTTCTCGAATCGAAATACATTGACATATTCGGTATATACACTAGCGACCAAAATTGAGCTTCCACCTCTACAGCATGACATCATTTTTGTTGTAGTTGCTGTTTTCCAGGTTCCAGTATTGTGTAGATCATTATTTATTATATGTTTATAGAAAATTTCAACTCGAAATACCGTGTCATTCAGGTTTTATTTAAAAAATCAGCAAAAAGGAAGGATTTTTGTACCGGACAGAATTAAGCATTCACATATACAGAAGCTATATCTCTTCATAAAAAATGAATAAAGGGCGTTTCATAAGTTTCGGTCCCATTTTTATGTTCTTTATCTTTCTGCAACGTTCAATGGTAGAGCGACATTGAAGATACATATTTGAAGAGTAGTATCTAAGCTATCATTTAACAAAAATTCCAATCGATTTACATTAACCGTAAGAAAGCACTACATTAGCAAAAAAAAATATTGGAAAAAATTTGTCAAATTTATTTTTCGGCTGTGGATGTGGTTCGATCGAAATGGTGGAAACGGGACCACCATAACCACACTCACATGCTCCAAAAGGAATGTAATATCTTGCTCATATTTAACAAAATAATATGATGAGACGAGTTCTTCACAAACCTATCGTCCGTGCATTACCGTTAATAACATAGATGCCAGAGATGTTCATCGCGGCTGAAAATCTGTCGCTGCCGCGATGGTTTTCAAAAAAGTGTTTCTAATTTCACTGTTGTGACTATATTTGACCAGAAATATTGGTACTAGTCGATCGGATTCATCCAGTCTCAGGGTGTTGCATTTGTAAATCCCGAAATTCTATTAAATTCATGCAGTTTTTCAATGTCCTCCAAAAAAAATACTGCCGCCACCGCCATCGCGGCAGTGGTAGCGACGCCATGGACATCCCTGATAGATATTGGCGATACTAGATTCTAGACATTATCGAATTGTCGATTATCTCATGCAACATTTGGCCAATGCATTATAAATATAATACAGCCAAAGAAATATTTGATTTGTCCGTTACGTAATTATTGTCATAATTTAATACAAAAATTAACTGTATGGGATCTCATGCATAATAAAATCAATAACCTAGAGACAAAATGCTTAACTAATGTATTACATAACAAAACAATAAGATAAAGTTTTACTCGTCTATCATACAGTTACTAATTAGTATTGTTGTAGGACGCGAACTTGAACGATACACCATTAGTAATAAAATTTGCGATATCTATCTAAAACATGACATGATAATAAAACGAGTAAATCGTCATAAAAATGAACAATAAATGCTTGTTTTTCTATGTGCAATCTATTATCAGTCTTGAAACTACTACATATCTCTTAAACAACAAATTATTCATGTCATATTTATTAAATTTAAAATTTATTGATTTTGACTATGGTAAGATAGTTAATCTCTGGTAAGATGTCTTGTCAATGGACAAATATAAAATTCAATGTTCATAGTTTTCTCAGTTTATCTATAACAGAAGCCTTGTCTTATATAAATTTCTCTGAGAATTAACGTAGAGCTCGATATTGAAGTCATTGTGTTTGAAAAAACTTATTGTTATTCAGTATACTTCGGCCTATCCATACTCACAAAAAATATAATTTTTGGTGATTTTGGAAAACAGTATAAGTCTACGAAACTTCACATCTGAGCAACAAGACCTCACGTTCATATTTTTTTTTTTGTATAATAGATCACAAGACTAGAATAAGGCTCTGAAGCTTTGATCCGATGAGATTAAATTATATTCGTTTTACAGAATATGAGCATAGGACATGACATATTTGAAAAATTAAATAAAAAAAAAAAAATCTTCATTTTCTCACAATGGAGGTATGTATGTTGACAAATGAAAAGATGGCACATATTCGGGTAAAATGAAAGCTCTCATCGCTAAGCTAACAAGGCTAAAATATTAGTGGCCCTTGGCTTGTCTAGAAAGAGATATTCGATTTTTACTGTATTTATAGTATATGTAGGATGTCCATAATTGAAAATTTCAGTGGGACTTATTTTTCTATTTTCATGATGGTTGGATACAGTTCATCGAGTTGCATTAGAAAAACTATGTTTCAAATTTTAAAAAAGATTTAAAAAAAAATTTTGCGTAGGATCGGAATTTTGAATCTATTTTTCCTTATATCTGAAAATAACAGTAACTTGGACTCTTCGTTTAAGATTTTTTAAGATCTCTTTTTTAAAATTTGAAACAGTAGTTTTTCTAATGCAACTCGATGAGCTCTATCCAACCATCATGAAAAAAGAAAAATAAGTCCCACTGAAATTTTCAATTATGGACATCCTACATATACTATAAATACAGTAAAAATCAAATATCTCCTTCTAGACAAGCCAAGGGCCGCTAATATTTTAACCTTGTTAGTTTAGCGATGAGAGGTTTCATTTGACTCGAATATATGCCATCTTTTCACTTATCAACACACATACCTCCATTGTCAGAAAGGCTAGGATAGGGTTATTTCGAAAACTTCCACAGTATTCTACTAACTTTCAAAAGTTCACTACGAACATAATATCTACTTGAAATTCATAGATTTGAATTGATTGATGAATCAATATCATAAGATTTCTATTTAATAATCAATCTCTTTATTTATGCTTACAAGATAAGCTCAATAACAAGAAAATATCTCGAAAGATTTATTCATCACATAATTGAAGTATCTGATTTTGTGAATCTAAATTATTAAATATTCATTTCAGACTTTTTAGAAGAATATTTATTTTCAAATTCTAGCAAAATGATATACTTTTCTATATATTTTTTTTTTCAACACACATTAAGTTTTATTATCGATACATTGATGAATTTATTAAAGGTATTTCAATAAGAAGCATTCCATCATCCATAACTTGTGATGTAACTCTATATCGATCAATACCATCAGGTAAACGAATACTTTCATTGAGTTGTCTATTATTATGTTGTTTAGTTGATGAAGTCTTTTTTCTTCCTTGTACTAATAAATTATCATCAAGTAAACGTACTGTTAATTCATTTAATTCATATCCACGTGTATCAACTTTTAATGTTAATTTTTGACCATTGGCTGTAAACATTGGATGAAATTTCGATTGTATAAAATCTGCAATATTAAATGATGATGAATATTGACGAGAATCCATACCCATAAGACTACCAGCACGTTTTGGTACTGTTGTTGGTCCTAATCTTGGTATATAACTTTGTGAAGCTGAACGATCATAACCATTTTTACGCGGAGTTTTTGGTTGATCGATTATGCGTAATAATTCTTCATGTGAACGTCGTGTTGCATCATTATCTCTTAACATAGGTATATCAATTGTTAATGTACCATTATTTCGTATAATCGAACGAATTTTATCAATATCGGCACCGGGTGGAATAGGAAATGTTTTAACTAATTCTTTACGAAAAAAATTATCTGCAGCAAATTGATCAAGATGCAAAGCATGCACAAGTAATGTATTATCATGTCGAAGTTTAACAGCAACTTCACCACGAGCAAATTCTGATACATTTACTTCAATACGTGTTGTTTCGGATAATGGTGATGGAGATAAATTTTGCATATTTTGAGATTGAAATATTTGAGATTATGGATGAAGACTATTAATAATAAGAATTATAGTAGTATAAAATCTATGAATAGAAGAAGAAAAAAAAACATGTTTTCATAAAATCAATATTCATTTTTAATAACGTAGTTTATTGCATTCAAACGAAAGAATTCATTACATTGAACATTTCAATATAATAATATATTAGACAAATTCAAAATTTAAAGATCTTAGTAAAATATACTCTGAGCGCTGTTTTACGTAGGACATAGACCAATCAATAGAGCTTGCAATTCTAAGTCTAGAGCCCGATAGATCTAAAATTTTCGAACTCGGATCCGGAACCAAACCGACGGACTCTACTCATAGTAGGCCATTCTAAAAAGTTTTTCCATTTTATCTTCTTGATATTTTTTTCATGATGGCTCACGCATAGTAAATACCAACAAATTGAATGGCGATATTTCGGCCTGCGATTTTGGCTACCGACAGGTCTAGTTGTGAGTAGAATATCCTTAAAATTTCAGCTAAAAAGAATGTTTCCTTTCCGAGATATTAAAGTCCCAAAAAAAAAACTCGTATATTACGGAAGATGTTAGAGTTTTCTGTTTTTTAGGACTTTAATATCTCGGGAAGAAAACATTCTTTTGAGCTGAAATTTTCAGAGTACCCTACTCACGAGTAAACCTGTCTGTGACTAAAATCTCAGGTCGAAATACCGCCATTCGATTTATTGGTATTTACTATGCCAGTGACAAAAATTTCAGTAAAATACCTATATCTCTAGACAGAAGGCCTAAGAGTACTTATCTTTTTGGAGTTTTTCATATCTTACTAGGGTCTACCTTATGCACAGATTTAGATATGAACATGATCAAAACTCTTTGATTAAGTTTTCAAAATATTAAGATTTTCTCTAAGATATGAGATGCTTCAAAAGACGAATGTACAATTTGTTTTTATCCCTCGTGTTTCAGATGAGACATCAGTTATTACGTAGGACCTATTAAGACTAGAAAGATTCGTTCCCCATGCGCTATCATTTTGGAGTTATGACTTCGATAGATCACTCGTTTTGGCTGAAATTTTTAGAACATTCTAATAACTTTCAGAGCTGTATACGAACAAAATTTTAGACCAAAATTCGTTTGTCCGATTTTTTTTTTATAAGTACGGTGTCAATTCAACTCCGAAAGGACAGCGCATGGGAAAGAATCTTTCTAGTTTCAACAGATCTCATGTAATGATTGAGGTTTCACCTCGAGTGATTCTCTCGTAAGAAATGACTTCTGATGATTCTTTTGGTAAGAAAAAAAAGAAATGTTAACATTTCATATTTTTTACTTTTTTCACAAATCTGCTAAATATATAATAAGATAATTTTTACCGACTTGTCTTTCATTATTATAAATTTAAAATTTTAGAGTTATTAGAAAATACCTTGCTGTTTTCCGGCAATTTCCGGAGAACGGAAAAGTCAATAATATTCTACTATATATCGTCCTTTCATAGGGAGAAGAAAGAAAAAAAAAAAACAACATTCTGGAACATTCAATAATAAGGCACATTGTTTTTCTAATTCCTATATTCAACCCTTTCTTTCTCCGCGAAAAAAAAAATAGAATTTTTTTGTTAATAAATATAAACTCTAGATTATAATATTTAATCAACTGTATGTACCGATAGATTTTCAAAGGCTTTATTCAATAAATCTGATATTTAACTTCATCGATCTTTTTTTATATGTTGTCCTTTCTTTATATTTAGACGATATTTGCGTAGTTTTACAAGAAAAAAAATAAAAACAGAATGTCAACATTCAAGGACTCAAAAGATAGTTTATGAAAGTAAAAATTCATTAAAGAAGATAAAATTATTATCTACAGAGAGAAAACAAAACAAAAAATCAATAATTTACTTAGAGAATGTTTTTTTACGCATACAATCGAATGATATGCGTGACTGTCTATAATCATTAATATTAGTCGAATGTCTTGTTCTATACACAAATGAATTCGATCCTAATTTATGTCTCTTTCATTTATATTATCATGATGATAATATGATTTGATTGTATGTTTTTGACTAATATGTTTCAAGGATTAATAACATTCAGAACAACTTGAGCGTTATCATAATAACTAAATCCAAGGTTTTCAATAGAGAATGACAACATAATGCTTACTTGTTTTTCTGTTATTGGTTAAAAAACACACTGATTTTTTTGTAAGATGAATGTTAATATGGATAAAAACAAAATAGAGGGTGTGACATATAAAGAAAAGAGAGAACTTCGTAATGTTTTTGCTTCGTTGTTGATTTTTAAAAGAGAAATTGTTCAAACATTTATTTCAACGATTAACAAACATCATTATGGTGTAGACATAATTGCTATTTCAAAAATAATCTATTATCCTTACTATGGCTTATTATAAAGTTACCGATTAAAAATAAAATGTCAATCATTTTCTTTTGCTATTACAAAAAAAAAATGTAAGGTACTACAAGAAAGTAATGATAGGAATATTGATGTTTGCTACTTTACCTAGGTGAATGTATGTGACTTTTACTATTGAGGTCACCAATTGGTTTAAAACACACGATTTTTCATTCGATTCATAAATATTATTGAGAGAAAATTATTTTTCAAGTTGGTTTGTCGTCACTCTCATCGGTAGACCACTAATGAGTGCTCCCTCTCTCTCTTTTTTTCTCGCTGCCTGCCGGCACAAAGCAAAGCAACATGTTACATTTAGAGAACGTATGTGGCTTTTTCTTTCACCCTTCCCATTTTCTTCTTTTTTTCGATAGAAAAAAAAATAATCAAAGAAAAGAAAAAGTGGCGGGCAATCGTTATAGCATTACTACCGACCGTCAAAAAAAGAAAACCTCCCGGAATGATGAGCAGCACAAAAAAAAAAAAAGACGAAAGGAAAAAGAAAAAAAAACATGATGAATTTACTTAGTCGAGTAGAAATTATTCATGAAACGACTGTGGATTCCTTTTGTCCCCTTGTATGAGTAGTAGTGCCAAATGTTTTTTTTTATCATTTTTTTCTCGCGTACTTATATGACTACAGATGTGCGCAACATACCCCTCGATGATTTGAATGTCAACAAACAAGCATAGTTTTTCTTTTAACCAAGACACACACACACAAACATATATATGTAGATATATATATATATTATGTTTCAAGAAGTGTGCACATACATCTTGAGCTGCTTTGTTCGCTATGTTCTATAGTATTTGTAATCAAAGTCAATATTTAAATTTGTAGTAAAGGAAGAAAACGAAGGGCATGTGTTTATCAATAGCACTTGCACGTCACTAAATAAAAGAAAATTATTTTCTTTTTTTTTTTTTTTTCGCATAGGAGGATAAGAGCAAACTAAAAAGAGTAATAAAAATCAATGGATTTTTACTTCGTTTTATTTTTTGTATTAAATAAAATTATGGCATAATTTATTATAGAGAACTTTTTATTTATTTTTTTCTTTTTGTTTGCTTTAATAAAAATATGTTAATGAGTTTTTTTTCTTCTTCTTGTATGAATAAAGTAAAAATTTGAGAATAGAATTAAATTTTTTAGAAAGTTTTTAGAACAATAATTTCAATTCAATAAAAGAAATTATATTTTCTTCTCAAGGGAAATCTAAAATATGTGACAAAATTTATTTTATTATTCATATTTTTATTTCACACATCAACAATATGATAGTGTATATTCTTATTTTAACAAATGATTAGTTATTGCTTTTAAACTATTCTATAGTAAAAATTGAACGAAAAAGCTTTTTTAAAATTTTCGTCAATACAAAACAACATACTTAAAATGACGCCCCTTTCTGAATGTTAAAAACAAAATTTTTTTTGTTTCTTTTGGTATAGCTTTGAAGTGTTCCCTATTAAATGCCGTATAAATAAAGGCTCTTTATTTTTGTATTCAATCCAACTATCGAAATTCCTTGCACTGTGATTATTCGTTGTATGAAAAATTCTCCTAGTGATAATGGTTATTTATAGGATTTACAAAAATACGTATTTTTGAATGTACGCTCAATATTTTGATCTTTTTATTCGCAGACTTTTGGCGACTTCAGAAAACGGAGCGATTTTTAGCTTTAGCGATCCAGATATTTCCTTGAAGGAAGTATTTGGAGTCTATAACACGTTTTGCTCTGTTCATCGAGATCTATCTAGCCTGAAAGTTTCATGTATATCTCTGATGAGTCATTCTTCAGAAACCCTGGAAAACTATTTTTGTGTATTTTACGTAGAAATGATTCTGTTTTGAAAATAATATTTTTTTTTTACTAATACTGAAAAGTTCAAGATTTAGATTTTTTTAATTATTTTGATAGATTGTATAAAACTACGTTGATAATAAAAATTTCTATTTTAATCAGTGGGCTATTGTGAAGTTAAAGGTTCAACAATCTTTCTTACGTATTACTGAATACATATTAATGCTAGACAGTACTCATTAATAAAGCACTTGTTTACGATGATTTAATTTTAATTTTATAGAGAATCTTCAGTTGTATATACAGTACAGATGAGATATAAGTCGCTAAAACTAAAAATGTTCGAACTCTGGTATAGTGATCTCATATCCTCAGGACACTCACAACAACAACAAAAACAAAAACAATTAAAAGAAAAAAAGAATTAGCGTGGAATGAAAGGGTATAAGCACCAGTTTCTTTATATTCTTATGACATTAAATAAATTACTTAGTATGGAAGTATTGAGATAATGTATAAACCATTCATTACTATAGATCCATCAGTCTTGACAATATTGCTTGAATATATATCTCTATTAATTAGTTTTTTTTTTGTCATATGTCATATAATTAAAAATTTCGAAATACAAGTTGCATAACAAATATATCATAAATTGTAAAAAAATATGTTTCAAACGAATAGTTATTAAAAATTAGATATAAATAATTAAAAGATCTTTTCACATGAATTCTAATCAATTTGACAAAAATTTTTTACTAACAAAAAGAAAAAATAAACAAAGAAATCAATTAAAGTTTCCACAAAAAAGAAATATTGAAAATATTCAGATATATGTTATCAGTAAATATTTTTTAAATTATACTTTAATTACAGTTTGCTTTTTTTCGATAATCGTTATATAGCAAGAAAGTACAGACTTGATTCTATCACATAATATGTTAATAATAAAAAACAAATAGAAATGAAACAACATCAGAAAAAAAAACTGATTTATATAAAGGATTGGTCTTAATCTCCATTAGTTTCATAGACAATAGAATATTTGCGAGATGTATTACTGATTTCCTATTTCGATAATCAATAAAAAGTTTGTAAAAGTCATGACGGAAGATTTATTGTTATGATTGAATAATAGCTTCGAACGACTTTATTTAATTTATGCGATATTCGTCTAATGGAAGAGATGACGGGAAAACAGAGAACAAATTTTATGTTTGTTTTGAACCTCGATTCACGACGTAACAAAATATACACCAGTTTGAAGTTAGGTTCTAGCATCTGATGCAGTGAAGTTTGTACTTTCTCGGGAATATTTATAGTATCAACACCGATTGAAAAATAAAATCTCAAAAGATTTCAGAGAATTCATACAAGAGTTTTCTTTATATAGAAGGAAGTGAATCGAAGGGTCTAAGTTTGAAGACTAACAAAACTTTTGAAACTGAAATTTTGCAATATCTTCAAAAGACTTCTGCGAAAAGTTGTCAAGGATAACACATCATCACCCTTAAGGAACAAGTCGATCGAGGGAAATCGATTTCAATTTCTTGTTTTCAAATTAAAAATTCAGTAAATCGATTCATTTGACTTGTGTTAGATATTCTGCATCAGATAATCTACGGCTTCGAAAACATTATTCATCTCTAAAGCGAATGTTTCACTGTCCTTTTTACATAAGAAAATGATTTACTAAGAAACAGACGACAACATGATGATAGTCCAATTGGTGTGATTTGTCGATTGTCTATCTAGCGTCGACTTTTCATTTCATTCATGAAAGTAATTAAACAACGTTGAAAAACTTACTAGTCGAACAGCATAGTATTTCTGTACACAACAGCTTCTTTGTGTCCTCCGTTCTCACTTAGGTGAATAAGAGTATCTAGCTCATCTGTATATATGTTTTTCTTTTTGTAAGATAAATAAGAAGTTGAGGCGTTTTTTTTTTCGAGTGTTATCATCGTTGATAAAGCAACTTGGTTAGAGAAAATATCAAGTCTGATAACAAGCACAAACTTAAGGTGTGAAAAGAAAACCGTATTTCATTTCGAACTTTTATGTTCGACATTAAGTCATAATCATGAAAATGTTATCTTGTTTGTCGCGTGCTAGACTAAAATACACAAGAAATTTTACTAGATTTGAATCTTTCGTTTTGTATAGAATACGACCAAGAACTTTATAAAGAATTATTCACAATAAAACATCATTCCTATTTTCTTTGAGAATTCTGATGCTCGATAGACAAGTAGTGTTTCAAAACAAACGCTTGATTTTTGTCTAAAGGATATGACGAGCGAATAAATACTCATCATATCAGGTACGTTCGGTTCTAACTTTTAAGTCCCACAAAAATATCTATCCAGTATTTTTAACTCCATGATTGAATCGTCGTGTAAATAGACAATAAGTAACAGTGACTATTCATAACGGTGAATAACCATACACAGGCATCATAACGAATATTATTTGTCTTGTTTATCTATTTCCTTGAACATTTTGGTTCGTCTCAAAGTCGAATCAATTGTATGAAGTGTCTTACCCATAAATTAAGCTCGGTATAATAGCAGCATTTTGTAGGATGGGTATTCTTATACTATATATATGAACGAATAATGTCATTTAAAAAAAATAGGAAAGAGAAATATTGTATCACCATTCTATAGAGGAAAGAATATGCTTTCATTTGATATATAACTCAAATTAAAAAATGTTGAAAGTGGATTTGTATGATAAGTGTAATTAAAATTTTCTCATCCATATGATAGTTTACAAGGCATTGTTTCAAAAAATTATTGCAGCTTAAAAGTGCAAAAGAATTTATTTGACATTAAAAAAGAAAATAAAAATTATATGGATGAAATTCATGAATCAATAATGTGTATGTTCAACGATTTTCCAGTAATGTTCATTGATCATATTATCTCAGTCTATACTCTCATCAATCAATTAAATAGAGGATAAAAGGAATTTTTTTTTATACAAAAAAAAACAATAATGGAAATACTTGGATCAGAAGATCAATTAAGAGCCATTTGCCGAAGATCCTAAAAGATTGAATTAAAATAATAACCATTCGATAAAAGAGCTGACTGAAGTAATTCTGGTATTGTAGACGAATCGATTTCGGGATCCTCTCGATTCGTCCCTTACATAAATAGATCGTTCTTAATTGATTCTCAATTTGTCCCTTCCTCGATGGCTGCTGCATAATGATCGTATCATCATATATCGTACAATACTTAATTTTTTTCTCTTTTTGTTTTCTCTTATGCATACATTACACATGAAACATGAATACCACCATCGTGTTGCTGAAGAGAGCCACGTTCAACCACAAAGACGTAAGAAAATTTACGATCAAGCTGATATTAAACTCTGCTATGCTGTATAGAGAACACAAGAACAAGCAATTAAGCGACGTTCAATTGGCTATACAATGTGGTTCTGCTATCAAGACACGGCTGTTCAAAAAGTGACAATAGAAATTTATATTTCATTATTGTTGATACTGTATTGTAATTTTTTTTTTTGATAAAGCTCTACTGCTTGTTGCTAATCAACTAGGAACGAATTGAGAAAAACATCCAAGAGGAGAATCACCTAATTTGGGACGAATCGAGAGTAAATCATCGATTTCAGGATCCAAAATAAACAACATAGAAAAAAAAACATTGAAGATAATGAATTAATTACCAAATAATACATTATCAAAATCATTGATTTGCATGCATTGGAATTGTTTCTTTTTCAGAATTTAGCGTACAAATATGAGTTGTTACTGTAACACTTTGTATACTATCAAAACACACACACACATACACAACCAACACAATTATTTTTATAACAACATCAAATCGATTGAGATTTATTGACGCATGGATATCCTTGATTATTGTACAACAACAATGAATATTGGATACGAGAGAACCTCCCCAGATGCCAAATCGCTTTTCACTCGAGACGTTGTTCATTTTATAACTAAATAGAAAAGTCTAGAATGCTTTCGTTCTCGAGGTATCAAAATTTTACTGAATTTTTCGTTCCCCTCAAATCATATGGAGAATCGACTTTCGACTTCAGACAAAGTTCTCAACGATATTAGTTCATTGGACAAGTTGTAACTTTTCTAGTATCTCCAATTCTAAGATGTTAACACTTTGTTCATGCAAAGTTTGAAATCGAAAGTCGATTTTTCATGAGAGGAACGAAAACCCAATAAAATTTCTATATCTCAAGAACGAAGGCCAAGAAAGTCAAACCATTCTAGACTTTTCTATTACTCATCAAATGAACATGGTCTCTATCGAAAAGTGATTTATAACACTTGCAAAGATTCCTTCGTAAGCGATCTGATATTGATTTTTTTTTGTCTTGCTGAATTAATCGATTGAAAGCTCAATTGTCGTGTCATCAAGTAAACATTCTCTATAATATCATGATCATCTTTAGCAACCAGAAAAATAGTTTAAACTATATGAATTTTTCATGAATAAGAAGACTATATATTTTATTACGAATACAACAACAACAACACCAAAAAAGATATTTATATATCTGATTAAAATAAAAAAAACTCCTAAAAGTATTTTATCATTAACATTTACTAATTAAATTCGATTGCAAACGTAAGTCTAATGGTTGATCATTATCAACTGTATCTATTTCATTTGTTGACTAAAAAATTAAAAATATTTAAAAAAAAAAGTGTTTCATTTATTGTCTTACTGATATTGTAGTAGTTGTTATCATTTGAGTACTGGATGGTATTCGTGTTTTAATTGCTTTTCATAACGAAAAGAAAAAATGAACATGTTATAAATAATCAAAGGAAAGAAAATTATTTTATTACCTCGTTTACGTGTTAAAACTAAAGAAAATGATGTTCGTTTTCGTGGACATAATAACTAATGAAAAATATTTTTAATGAAGAAAATAAAATTTGAATAAATATATTTACTGGTGTATTTTTAGATAGATTATCTTTAAACATACTATTTTCAATTAATTTTTTTTGAATTTGTTCATTTGTCATTTTTGATGAATGTCGTCGTCGTTTCAATATTTGTTTTATTTGTGCTAAATATAAAAAATATAGTAAAAGAAATAAACATATATTTTTCTTTACCATAATATTCATCAAATGTTATTAAACCAAGACCATGAAGAAAACATTTGATCTAGATTAAAAATAATAAGGCTCATTATTATTATGTTTATATTCTTTTATTTTTACTTCTTCTGGATCAGCACCGGGAATGAAATCATGCTCCATTTATCTAAAACCTATAGGATTTAATTATATAATGACAAAAAAAAAAAAAGTCAAAAATTTTTTTTCTTCAAATTCACTAATGGAAGAAAATTTCCGGTTTGTAGCATTGAATAATATTACAATCATAAGCATCTGGCAATTTTGTCATTATTAGAAGTATAACATAGAGGAAGTCCTCCAACTGATTAATTGCTTTTGACTCAAGGCTATGCACATTATGTAGACCGAAATGAACTATGAATATCCTTAAAAAGAGTTCGGTTCCTTAGCTTATTGCTGTGAAGATACTACATTATTACGGTATTTTTTTTTAAATAGTTTATCATACAAGTTTCAAGTCTTTTGATTCTACGCTGAAAGAAAAATATCAAATATGCCGATTTATAAAAGACACACTATTATTCATAAGTAATTTTTATCAGTTGGAAGACTTCTCTTGTTAGAAGTTAAAGGATACTGTTTATACTAATTAAAAATCGTTAAATCTCAATTTCTTTTGAACTCGATTACAAAAAATAATTTTAATATATGAACAAAAAATGTATTTAATATTGAATCAAAAACTTGATTTTGATTTTTCCAGAGCGAAGAAAAAAAAATAATCATTAGATCGTATTTTTTTTTAATATAAAAGAATATTATCAAGATTCTAGCACAGTGTTCATCAATCGCAGAAGTAGCTTGATAAAACTCTACATATGAATCATGTATACAAAATTTCCGCAGAAGGAACTCACCAAAAAAAGAGCAAACAGAATGGCTCACTTAGCAATTTTTTCTCGTGAGTAAAAAGAAATTTCACCGGAGGATATGATAACAACCGTTACTTTACCATCTTCCTAAATTCGCTGCTAGTATTCACCGTCAACAAGCAATTAGTTTTTCAAACACATTTGCTTATTGAAAACAAAAAGAAAACAAATACAAAAAAAAAAAAAAAAGAATGAAACTATAACTTCAATCTTCTAGTTCTTCATCATCAGCAAATGTATAATTTTCTCTAATTTTTGCTGTTTTTGCATATTCAAATTGTTCAACACCATAAGCATTTGACATTAAATTAGTTCGTTGTGATAAATCATCATTTTTTAAATGTCCAAATATAAAACCATTTGCTTTATCAATTGTATTATTAACTTTTTCAATACTTAAACGATCTTGAACATTTAATGATATATATGAAACAAGACTATAATCTTGTATTATATCACATAATAATTTATTAAATTTTTTATATTTTTTTGCAAGTTTTGGTTGAAATTTATCTTTATTAAAATTTTTATTTTTCATTAAAAAAGATAAATCTAATACTTCTGTATAAAAATCAATATTATATTCTAATGAACCATATATTTCAATAAGATCAATTTTTGATAGAATATTTACATGTGGTAATTCTAAATGTAACATCATTGATAATGATGTTAATAAAGCACTTATAAAATTTGATGAATTTGAACAATAATATGAATCAATTAAATTAACACAACAAAGTCTTAAATCAAGATTTTTTAATAATTTTTCAATTATATGATGTATTGAACCATGATGTGTATAAAGTTCAGTTTGTCCTGGACAATCAAAAAGAATATATGGTGGTGGTAATGTTAATGAATGTTTATCAATTAATATTTTAAGACGTTTTAATAACCAATCAATATTATTTTCAATATATTCAATACAATACATTAATGAACCATTTGGACCTAAATTAAGATTATCACAAACATCATCAACTGTTATTAAATCAACTAAATCTATTGCACATTCATATGGCATATCAACATTAGCTGCATCTAAATTAACTATATATACATGACGACTACTATGATCAGTGATAAATTTATTAAAATAATCTTGTATTGCTGCACAATATGTTGTTTTACCTAAAGAAAAAAATAATTCATTTTTTCATTTGAGAAAGAATTGATTTTTTTAAATATCATCATTACCACTGCCTGGTGGACCAACAACAATTTGACCGAAGACAACTGTCATTTATATTTAATCTAAAATCATCTACAATCTTGTATCTTTCACCTTCTACTGATAAATAATCAATGATGAAAATACATAATACATTTTTATTTTTTTTTTAAATATGTACGGACAAGAACAAAAACAACAAAAAAAAAACAAAAGAAAAACGAAAAACTTGTCGATGTCAAATCAAATTAATGGAATTAAAACGAACAACAAATACTGAATAATGACTATAATATTCATTGTCCAGTTTCTGTATCATAGACTAGAGAAATAGATATAACAAGAAGAAACAAATGAGATTTTCTTTTCCTTCTCAATCAAAAATAAAAACAAATTTTCACAATAAATAATTAAATATATGTATATATATATATAAACTTTTCCCATCCATCACCAATAATAAATAAAACAAAAACAGTATGACTAGATACATTATACAGAAACAAAAAAAAACAAACATGAAAATATTATTCAATCAGATCTCGATTATTCATAAAACGACGAACAGATACATTTATTGGTAAATGAAACTCAATTGAAGTTAAACGATCAAGTGAATGAAGTGCATCATGAAAACCTTTTTATTGTATAAAAACTTCATTAGAAAGAACAAAAAATAAAATAATTTTCTACCTGTTGTTTTTGTATAACTCCAAGATTGATAATAATTTTCTACCAATGGTATTGTCTTCAGAATAATACGTAAAAAAGAAACAAGTTTTTTTTCACTAAATAATATTTTATATATTAAAATTTTATCTATTTAATGTTTACTTTTTTAATCCTTACTTTAATGCATAACATACAAATGATTTAAAACAACTATCCATAGATTTATTATGTTTTTCATGTAATTTAACAATATTATCAATACCACTTAGAAGACACTAAAAAATCAAATTTTAATAAAAATTAATTAGAACAAAAAAAAAAAAAAGTATAAATAATACTTGTTTTAATGTAATTGGTTTACCACCAACGACATCCAATGAAAATGATTCGGAAAGTTTACGAGCTGGACTATTGGCAAATTCATTTCCATGCTAATAAAACAAAAAAGAAAAGAATTCCAATTGAATATTTATTTCAAATCGAAATCAGAACGACTGATCTCTATCTGAATTACTCGTCCGAGAGAATAAATTTTCCTTACTTTCATATCATAATATTTTAAAAATAATTTCCAAGCATGCATTGTATCATTTGCAGCTGAATAATTAGCTCTTGTAGAAAAACAACCCCAAACAGCTAAAGTTGTTGAATAATTTGTCTTCGAAGAAGAAAAAATAAAAGATAAAATTTATTTTTGTGGGAAGAATTTTACTTCATAAAGACCATGTTCAAGTAATGCACGTAGAGCTGGTGCAAGATCTTGTCTAACAGCTAAAACAATTGCATTTTGATCATAATCATCCTAATTAAAACCAAACAAATAAACTGAATTTTTGAAGTCAAGAAAAATTTTCTACAAATACAAACTTCTTCATTATCACTTGTTGCAATTGATGAATTATCATCATCATTATTATTATGTCGTGAATATGTATTTGTTAATCGTATGACATTAAGAACTTTTTCAATAGCTATTTCAAGTTTTGCTCGAATATCACTTTGAAAAAAAAAAGAAATATTTTTTGTTTTTGAATTTAAATAAAAAAAAAAAATTTTTTATTTGTATATATACCCAAAATGTTTTTTAGCAACAATATCTTTTTTTATATTTGGTGTTGGTTGATTAGATTTTTTTTGCGTTGATCTTGTACCACATGTTAATAATAAAAATGTATATAATTGTGTAAGTATAAGAACTTTTTTCATTGTTTGAGAAAAATTTGTTTGATTTTCAGAAGAAAATTTATTTGTTGTTTGATGCATTTTTAATGGATTTGTTGTTGTTGTCTAGAAATGTAGAATAGAATATTTGATAAAAATAAAACAATGACTATGAAACAAACAGAACGATTTGATTTATTTGGTGAGAATTTCGATGATTCGGTACTTTTTTTATCATTTATTAAAGGAGATGAAGCAGCTCCTCCTGCTGCTGCATTAGCAGAATCAGCTAAAAATAAAATAATGATTTAATAAGAATTTTTTGTTTTCGTCTTTTTTTTTACCTTTAAGAAATTCAATAAATTTTTCAAGATCATTTATTTGTGTACGCATTTGAGTTATTAAATTTTCTTTTAGTTTTACTGGATTAGTTAACTAAAAAATTCAAAAATAATATAATGCAATATAATTGAAAAGTTATTGTAAAAATCAATGACAGAATCCATTAAATGTAATATATTTAGTCTTCTATGTACTTTATAAATAATAGAATGACTATTAATCTGTCTATTCATTGAAATACGAACAATACACACACGAATAAGTAGTTTGAATAAATCACCTTGCCAATCAAGGTACATATATATACACTTTAATACATATCCAAAAAAAAAAGAAGCAATCAATTTACCTGATGAATAGCTTGATCAACAAGTCTTCTTAATTCTTCCGCTCTAAATAAAGAAAATGCAAAAAAATTCTTTGTTTGTTTGTTTTTTTTTTTTTGTCTAAATCAATACGAACGATAATTTCGAAACAGAAGCATCATCTAATTGTAAATCAAGTTTCGTACGTAATTGATCAATAAGTACACGTTGTTTTTCCATTGTTACAGATGTTGGTACACCTTCTAATGAACCTGATGCAGCTGCATAACGTTCTAATTCATCTAATTTTTGTTTTAATTCACTAATAAATTCTTTTTCACGTAATTTTTCATTTTCAATTAATTCTTCATTTGTTGTAAGATCATTTGTATACATTGATGATCGACACATAACATCAGGTATACCACTTGATGCAAATTCATGTAATTCTATTAATAAATTCTAAAATAATAAAAAAATGAAAAATAAAATATTTTATATGTTTAATTCATTTTTATTTTTATACTTCACGATCTTCAGTTGTCGGTGCTGAAACAACTTGTTGAAGACGTAATTGTACATGTGCAAAATGACGAGTTAATGCTGAAAGTGATGCATTTAATCGTTCATGTTCTTCAAGTAAAGCTACTTTTTCATTGAATTCTTCATTAGCACTAAAGATAAATTTTTAAAAAAAATTAAAGTTTTTTTTTTTGTTTTTTTCTAAATCAAATAATTAAATAAACCTTTTTCCATATTCAGTATCCGATGAGGCACCACCGATCGGTGTCAATCTTCCCGTCATCGGTAATTTTTCATCACTTGAATCTTCTTGTAGCATGGCTTCAGATCAAAGAAGAAGAATAGAAAAAAAAAAAAAAAAAACTATATCGTTTACCCACACATACGCCTACGCATAGGAATGACGTAGATAAGATCAAAGTAAATTAAATGTCTGATAGCGCTGTATTCTGTAATTGAAAAATATCTATCTAGAATTTTTATTTAAAGATATTTATTTATTTATATAGAATAATTTTTATTTTATTTTTTTTATTCTCATTGAAGTTAAATTCTATGATAGATGTCACTAAATTATGAAGTGACATTTTTTTATTACGGTTTCTATATGATGAGAAAGAGTTACCAATAAAAAAAAAAATAGAATTGAAAAATGTTTACAACAGTAAAATTCGAGCAAATGATGGAAAAAAATACCGAGTCGAGAGCAAATATATAAAAATAAATGAATGGTTTTTTTATTATTATTTGTTTAAAATAAATTCAATTTGTAAATCTCCTTTCGAACAGCATGTTTTATGTGATATTACTTGTATCTCTGTAACAATCATAAGCAAAAAGCAGAAATTCTAGCATAGAATAAATACAGATGTCTAATGTGTGTAACATCTGCGTGATACGCTGATCAAATCTATGAATCTGATGAAAGGAAAAAAGTGTTTGAGCCTATCTAAATTTCATGGCTCCGGCGCCTATGTCTACCAGAGGTCTCAGTGGATTGGACCGGACTAAAGAAAGTCTGTCCATGAGTTTTTCTTAAAAAATGGTTCACTAATGAGTGCTCACGGACCATTTATCAAGACATGAGTAGGCAAGCATATTTCGAGTATCAGATGTTTTTGCTTTATATATTTGCTACTGGTTGTAAAAATATTTTAGCCAATGAAAGAGTTACATGAAATTTTCGAGAAAAGAATTTCAATGAAAATATGCAACATCTTTTGAAAATTTTATATTTTTTTCAAGATCGAACTCATCGCAGTATCCAATCAGTCCGGTCCAACCTATTGAGATCTCTGAACACTACCTTCTCACTAGTCGATATCCTCCTTCCAATATGTATCGTTTCTCTTTTTACTTCAATTCATCTGTATGTCCGAGACAGCCAAACTTCATCATCTATAATGTTATTTCATGCAATTTTTTGATCGTAAATTGTTACAGTATTACGATTGTGTTTTATTATGTCGTACATCATTGATAATGGTCGTCAGTTGGTCTAAAGTTCAAGTATTCGATATTTATGATCGTGCTTATTTGACTTACGATGTTGAAATATTATATTTTATTCTGTTCTTTTGCATTTGAATGATATCAGTATATGAAACATTATTTCTTATCATAGAGAAAATTTGAAGATTAATTGATATGAAAATGTCATAAGGATCAAATGACGTAACGTTATTGTTTTAATCCGATGAGTATATAGATTTTAAAACCTTTTAATTTATCAGAAACAATTTTTTTTTTCATCATAAATACGAAGGCCACGAAAGTAAGGAGAGTGTACATCCGCCTAATCGTAAAACCCTCGAGCGGCCTCTATTTAAATATGACAACAGTCAATTAAATGAATGATAATTTTATTATTATTATTATTATTGTAACAATAGTAACATATCTATTTTATACATTCTCTTGCATTCATAATATAACTTACAATTTAAAATTGTCATACACAATCATAAAAATAATACTTTGGATTTGTTTTATACTTGATATGATCACACCTCAAGATATGTATACATTACATAAATTTCTAATGCTAGAAAATTTCATATACATGAGAAAACAAAGTTCGATTCTTAAAATAAATATATTCATAGAAAAGAAAAGAAAAGAAAAGGCAAGACAAAAGTAACATAAAATAAAAATTATTTCATTTATCATATTGACTTATGTTATCAGAAGATAAAGTCAAATGTAAAAAGAAAGACTAAATGACAACATATAGAAAATAAAACAAAAAAAGTCATGGTATTATTTCAACCAGAAACATTAACTATTCTTGTACTTATCGCTGTCATATTAGCAGGTGTAACATTTATTGCAGTTTCAATTCTTATTATTTATTTAATATGTATAAGATATTGTACTTCGAATCGTACTACTAATGATGATTCTTTATCAACAATACCTTCCGTTTCTGATAGTAATCGTTCATCACCTGTTCCTTCTTCATCATCGATTAGATCGACTCCAATAAAAGCTCCTGTAGTAACAATTCCTAAAAAAAAACAACCACCACCATCAACACCACTAACAGATTATCATTCTGATAGAATTACTGTTATAGATGAAGTTTCTTCTGATGATGAAATAAAACATAAACAAATTAAGAAACAAGACAAAATTTACAGTACAACAATTAGAAATGACAATCGAGTAAATACTCAACATTATATGCAAAGACGACAACAACGAGAAAAACCAATAAAACCAATAACAGATGTTCGAGTTATTGATCGACATACACCATATCCAACTGATGTTCTTCAACGTGAACGATATATGGTTGCTAATCGTGGATTTCAAAATACTCCATATGATCAACAATAGAAACAATTCTTTTTCTTTTTTTTTTTACAAACAGCATGACAATTCTTGAATTGACTCAATCAATTGTGGCCGCTGAAAAGAAAGAAACATATATATATATTTAATTAAACAAAGATATTTTTTTTTTTGATAATCATAAACTATAACTTCAAACAATTATTCTATTTTATCAGAATAAAAGTTCGATTTACTGTGCACCTCAAAAGTGTTTCTCCCCTTTTGTATTTTTTAGTTTTTATAATTAGACCTTTTTAATTTATTAACTTTCTATATATATAGAAAGAAAGCCCAGAACACGCTGCATATAATGATATATTTACATTGAACAACAAATACACTTTGAAATATAAAAAGTGTATTGAAATCTTAAAATGTATGAAGAGTAACTAGTTTTTAGGATAACTTTTGATAGAAACAAGATAGAGAACTGCGGTTTTCATCGTTAGAAAGAGGACATAAAGATGCATCGAATTCTTTATTTTGCATGTCTCTGACAAAATTTTGTTAGAGTCTTTAGCGAACTTTTCTTCAAAGATCGACTGTTTCGTATTTTTTGAAAAAAACTTGACTTTATCCTCTGTAGAAGTCTCGATTTTTAAAGAAAAGTTTGCTAAAGATCCTAACAAAACTTGTCAGAGACATGCGAAGTAAAGAATTCGATGCATCTTTATGTCCTCTTTCTAACGGTGAAAATCGCAGATCTCTATCTTGTTTCTATCAAAAGTTATCCTAAAAACTAGTTACTCTTCATACATTTTAAGATTTTGAATAATTTTTGCAATAAAAAAAAAATATCACGTCTTTTTCTAATACATCTTTTATACTTCAAACTGTATTTGTTGTTCAATGTAAATATACCATAAGATGCAGCGTGTTCTGAGCTTTCTTTCTATATATAGAAAGTTAATAAATTAAAAGGGTCTAATTATAAAAACTAAAAAATACAAAAGCGGAGGGGGGGAGGTGAACTTTTGAGATGCACAGTATAATAATATATTCTTCAATATTTTAATAGATCCTTTTCTAAATATGAAAATTCAGTAATATAAATACACTTTTTATTTTCTTCTATTCTCAAAACTACAAGTCTTGACGATAGATTTGAATCGTAGTGGTTTAAGATAAAATATATCTTTCATGATAATATCCTACATATAACAATTAAAATCAATAAAACTATTTTCATCATACTTCTCAAAATTCATTGAAATCTTGATATACTTTTTAAAAAAAATGATTATAATCAATTATTAATAATACAAACCCGTTTACAGTAATCAATAAAATCATTTATTGTTATTTGTTCATTGTGCATTGGATCAATATCCTAGATAAAAACAAAAACATATTATTAAACTTCAAACTAACAATTTTTCTTGTACATTGAAGTCAAACACTTTTTGAACTGCATTAGGATAGAAAAATTCATATTGTTTTTTTTTTCGTTTAATTCTATCCTTTTACTTAAGTCCTTCAGAAATGCAACAGGGAATTATAACAAGACATTATTGATATACGGTCTGTGATGAGCGTTGATTAGCAGTCCATGGGATAGAGCCCATTGGGGACAAAAATTTTGGACCCGGTCTCTTGATACTTAATGAAATTTTTTTAACTCGCACCTGATACCCCTCAGGAACACATCCTTAACAGTTCTGAAGCAATATTGATCAGGATCTTATAAGAATCAACTTATAATTGTCTTTTTTCAGAGTAGCATCCATGAAGTCACACTCGGGCCCGGTCCATAGGAAATTTCCAGATTCAGGTTCGGTACCAATCCGATGGTTTCTACCATAGGGAGTTCAAATTTTTACTCCTATACTTCAACACTCGTTTTAGATTGTATTGTCACATACATCGAATATTTCATTGACATGTTTTTGAAGTTCACGTTCATTAACAGGTGTATGACCTGATGAACCGAGAAGTTCGCTGAGTGATAAAAGGATTTCACCGAGATTCTAAAAATATACATATATAATATTGATATTTTTATTATTTCAGAAATTCTTATACTGTTCGTGTCAAATGACCTTCACCATGCATATCATAGAAACGAAAAATCCATCGTAATTTTTCATCAATTGTACCACGACATAGAACAGATAATGTTAGAATATAATCCTAGAAATAAAATTTGATTTTAAAAAAAAAGGAAATATCTTATGAAAACTTACATCAAATGTAAATGTTCCTTTATGATTTCGATCAATCATTGAAAATAGGTAACGAGTATATTTACTTGCATCTATGAATTAGTATTGATAGATAATTAACTTTTTTTTTTTTTGTGTATCTTTTATTTATTGCTTACTGCCTTGTGGAAAAAATTGTAAATAAATTCCACGTAATCTTTCTTCATTGACATTTCCACTTGGACATTCCTTTAGAAGAAAAAAAAATAAAATAAGAAGAATATAACTTGAAAATTAAATGTTTTTCTACTTGTTTAAAACTTCGATAGAGAAGTCGAATTTCAGATTTTGAAAAACGTGTACATTTCATTATTTCTTCTAATGATCGAGGATGTTGAAGACTTCTTGAAAGTAATGCATCCAATTGTCCATCTAAATTATGCATATATAAAAACATTAGAATATATTTTATTTTTTATAACTTCTATACAAAAATAAGAAAAAAAAATAAAACAATAACTTATACATACCTCTATTCGTTTTTTTACGTCTACCAATATTAAAACTACTCTGTCGATGAGAATATGCAGCTATATTAGCACCCATTGTTATTATTAAGCACCATAGGCATCAAATAAAGAAACAATTTATAATAACTCAACATTTACACATAACTATCTTTAGTCTTTTTTTTTGTTGAATTGACTATGGCTTATATGATAAGATAAGATCGATAGATTTGATGACATTGATGACGGGCGATTGACATTTTGTTCGATCTTTTCAAATATATGATCGTTAATTCTACATAAGTATAGACATCCACACATGTGGATTATCCGACTAGATATATCTAAGAATGACAGCGGAATATAAAAAAAAGAAGAGGAAATCGTCGATCAGACGTCTGTTTCCAATTGGAGATCTCCTATATTATCAATAATGTTATCTATATGATGGATGACTTTTATCGTAAATATACAATTTCTAAGAAGAAAAAAAAATAACAAATCACATTCTTTAGAATATGACAACATACTTAGTCTTTCCATTATGATTAAGAACAAGTCATGTATAAAAACAAATGTTATTCCTATTTATAAATCTTCGGTAATTATCATAAAGCTTTGATTAGATATTGAAAAAAAAAAGAAAAAGAAATGACATCATCTATCAATGAATTGAACTAACTGAACTAGATGCAATTCATTCTATATCCGAGCTATTTCTGATAATTAAATTATCATAATAATGAGATAAATTCTATTATAATAAAAAGAAAAATTCTCTAACAACAGAACTGTCGTGATCGTTCAAAGTTTCGGAAGTGAATAAACAATTTTTTTCAAAAACAAAAAATTGAATTTATATTTTTTGGACTTTTGACGACGAAGGATATCAAGTATTTTCCTTAAGTGAACGGTTCAAGCACATAGAACTTCTCAAGATCGAGGATAGAAGCAATCGAACTAGCAACAGTTTAAATTGAAACTTTTTTTTCTTTCTAATCTAATGAAAATATTTCAAAAAATTCTAGTTTTTATTATATATGAACTAAGATAATTAGTTTTCATCATAGTATTATTTTAATTTTTTTGTCTTTTGATAAATATAATATAATGATAAAATTACAATAGCAAAGAAATAACTTGTGAATGAGAATGAATAGAAATATTTGTATTCAATGGAGTCGAATAGCATACAAAGACAAAAAAAGCCGAATACATATTCCAATCATGTTATCACTCTCCTTCATACTACTAATTTCTTTTTCTTTCCATTCATTGTTTCTTATTCTTTCTTGATTGCTTTTGTTTTTCTAATACTATATCTTTCTACAATATAAATTTGTTATGTGTAATCAAAATAGACACATTTTTTTAGAGATATGAAACAGTTCAATAAATATTATCATTATCAAGAGTAATGGTAAGCTATATATTTAGTTTATGATTATAATAAATCATTTGTCTTACGGTTGACTTTTTTTCATCTAGACTTCCGAAAAAAGAAACATTCCGATATAATTTATTTGCAATCATATTTTTTGTTTTTGTCGATCTGAAAATTACTATACATCAATCATAAATTTTTCTCTATTAAAAAAATGTCAATAAATCAAATTGAATAAGACATTTCTATATTATAATTAATGCATAAAAAAAAAAAAGAAATATTTTCTACCTGATGTATGTATACGACGAACAACTCGAAATATTCCAGTACTTAAACGACGTGAAAAACGTTTACAACTAGCAATTATTCGAGATGTTCGTCGATCAGTTGTAAGTAATGTTGAATGATACCAAGACATGAATTATTTTTCTTTATCTAAAATAGTTATATATAAATAAAAATATGTCACTTTTATTTATCTTTATATTGACTATGTTCTATTATTAATGGAATGATTCTTTCTAACTTACACTTCTTTTTCATATGTCAGTTATTATATTTTGTGTTTATACAAGAAACAAATGATAGAAAACAAAAGAGAGAAAGAAAAAACTAGGAACGACCGTCAAAAAAAAAAAAAAAGAATCTAAGTGTTTTTCACATCTACTAATGCTTCATCTTGTCTTTTCTATGCTTCTTTTTTCTTGCTAGAAACTGTTTGATTAGCTATATTGTCATTTTTTCTATGATTGAATCGATCCATGAAAATATTTAGATGAAGATGGGTTTTAATAACTGGATTATTTGCGACTTCATAAAGATTTATATTTATCGAGTTCTCTTTTTGTATATGCAATTAGCATATTATGATCTTATATAAAAGATTTTAGCATGATTAGCAAACATAGAGAATACATGTATATATTATCGAGCAATTATTTCTACACATATAATGTGCTTCACTGTTTTTTTGAATAATTTTTAATAGGAATGTCAGAGAGATTTGCGGTTTTTATCATTCAAGAGAGAGAGAGAGAGAAAATCCGTGGTCATCGAAATTCTATTGGTCGGCAATTGACTAATTAGGTGAGTTCTTGGTGGAGATTTTTGAAAATGATATTCTGAAACTATTTATCTTTAGTTAATAGAACTAATTGACAGAACTCTCGATCTACGCAAGGGTAACATTTTCAGTTTGAGAGTTATAAGACTTCCGGTTTCAGTCAACTGATTTATGATCACTCGGAAAAGCAGCTAGACAGAGATCATTCACCCTCTTGATGATGGAACTGTTTCAACTGATAAATTATTTTTGATCTCGGACTCGATTCTAGTGAGATATGAAACGTTCCAAAAGGTCTTTAGATCTTCCTTTCAGACTTATAGCCATTTGACTGGAATTTTAGGCTATAGCACGATATGCATCAACAAATTGAATGACGATACTTCAACCTGAAATTTCGCCTACAGATAGATTAGAATGTTCTAAAAATTTCAGACCGAAATGCCATCATTCAATTTGTTGATACATACCATATGCCATAGCCTAAAATTCTAGTAAAATGACTATAACTCTGAAAGAAAGGTCTACGAGCATTTATCCTTTTGTAACATTTCATATTTCACTAGAATCGAGTTAGAGATCAAAAATGATTTCCCATATTGTAAAGACCGGACAGTTTTTAGCGGTAAATTGCAGAGCCGGGAACCAGATAAGTAAAACCGGTGGTTTTTCTGAGCATTTTTATGACATGGGAAGGTACAAGAAAAAAACATTTAAAATAGCAAAATCGATCATTTGGAGCAACTAAATGTCAATGATCATCAGCGAACCCATTCATTTTAGCGATAAACCGCGGTAAATTGTAGCGACGGGAGCCGGTAACCGAACCAGTAAAACCGCAGTTTTGTTCCTCAAAAGGGAAATAACTTCAGAATATCATTTTCGAAAAATCTCCATCGAGAACTTACCTAATTAGTCAATTAATGACCATAGCTCTTCTCTCTTCAATGGTGAAAACCGCAGATCTCTCTAATATCACAAGTTATTCAAAAAAAAATATTGAAGCATGTAGAAAAATAATAAGACTAACATATTAGTTTTGTTTTTTTTCATAAAAAGTCATTACGTATAGTCATTGAGTATAAATTCTAAAGATAATAAAATCTTTTTTTTTGTTTGTTTGTTTTATAAAGTAACTCAATTATTCCATCATTCGGTTCATAGATATTTAAAGAAAATTATAATAACATAGATCTCTCTTCGTAATCAACTAACATTAAAAAGAAATGAAATAAAAATGTAGTATTATAAGACTAATATAATCTTTTAGGCTATGTATTATTCAAAATTCTTAATCCATTCTGAGAGACATATATATAATATGACATAGTACGATTTTTTTAAAAATATTATTAGATTTAGAAAATAGTATGTCAGCCAATTTGTTTTGTTGATGTATATTTTCTTTATTTGTTTATCAAGATAGATTACTAAAAAAACTACATATATATATATATATACAAGTCAATGCATGATTATATTCGATGTATGGATAAAGGAGGTTTTTGCTTGTTTGTTTGGTGTAAAAAACAAAAAAAAAAAAAAACTTATTTATTAATTAAGAAGTTTTTGAATTTGATCTTTTTTTTTCTTAAAATCTTATGATTGATTAATATTAAGCATTATTGATTGTTTTTTTGAATGATTTATTTGAAATATTATTTGATTATTTAATTTTTTTTTATGTTTTAAACGACAATGAAATAGATCACAATATGCACGTCGATATTTATTTGAAATAACATTATAAAGTATTGGATTAATAACTGAACCAAAATAAAATGTTATACCTGATATAACATATAAATAAGCCATAAAATTAGATAATAATGATAATTCAAAATTAAAATTTGAATATAATGTTATTATAGCTAGAAGTAAACGTTGTAAATATAATGGAGCATAACAAACAAAAAATGCAATAACAACAGCCACTAGATATAAATTAAAAAAAAAGAAAATTATGAAAATTATTCAAAAAAAAAAAAAAGGATTTTTCATAAGGTGCCGGAAATTCAAAATCACAGTAAAATTTTTTTTGTCTTTTTTTGTACTTGGTTAGATAGAGGGCACGAAAGTGATTATAAAAAAGTAGTTTTCAAATTTTCAAAAAATATTTTTGCCAAAAAAAAATTCAAAATGGTGCAGAACCACATTTTTGGGCAAAATGACTCAATTTTTAAAATGATGCCATATTTTTGTTTTTTCATTCTTTTTACTTCTCCAAACCAATATTTTCTTGTTCCTTGTGTGAAACTGACTATAGAGAACTATATTAATATAGTTCTCTATAGTCAGTTTCACACAAGGAACAAGAAAATATTGGTTTGGAGAAGTAAAAAGAATGAAAAAACAAAAATATGGCATCATTTTAAAAATTGAGTCATTTTGCCCAAAAATGTGGTTCTGCACCATTTTGAATTTTTTTTTGGCAAAAATATTTTTTGAAAATTTGAAAACTACTTTTTTATAATCACTTTCGTGCCCTCTATCTAACCAAGTACAAAAAAAGACAAAAAAAATTTTACTATGATTTTGAATTTCCGGCACCTTATAAAAGTTCATCTCAATGAATTTTATTAATTAAAGTCACAAATAGAATGTTCGGATTCCAATACCTATCGGTATGGATACAGAAAATTTTGAC